TTAATAAGACTTCATTTTTAGAACAGTTTTAGATCGAGAACAAAACTGAGCCTAGAGAGTGTAGAGCTGCCTTGCCCCTGCAGACCTGCGTGGAGGCCCAGGCTCGCAGCCCCCAGCATCTCCGCCAGAGCCCTGGTGTTGCTGCACTCCCGACGCTTGTGCTGGCGTCACGCGGTCGCTAGAAGGCTGCAGTTTGCGTAGGGTGGCTTTGGTGTGATAGCCCACTTTTTACAGCCATGCTACTATTGAATGTTTGCCCAGGGGTCGGAGTCTGCTCAAGGCCACCAGTGCTTGCAACTAGATTGTGAATAAATGTTTGATGAATGAATGAAACATTACAGGTCCTTGATGGGAAAGTTTAAAATATCTTGCTTTCTTCCTTTAAGTTGTGTAGATTCTTATATTAAGCCAAAATGGAGGCTGTAGTGTTTCTAGAGCAGTGACAGAGGAGACTTATGTTCTTTGAATGCTTCAGTAGAATGGCCATCACTACACTGGGAAATCCTGTTGATTATTTTTGTTCTTATGGATGAAGAGGGTTTATTATTAAATTAATATTTGTACTTATGAGTATATAAATATACTAATGAGATTTCAGTTATTTGAAAAGGTAAATTATGTGTCTTGTCAAGTATTATCTTTACATATTTCCTCTGTTTTGTGGTTAAAAAATTAACATGGTATTAGATATAAGTTTAAATGTACCACCAAAATTTAATGTGTCATTTTTAAGTATATTTGTCTTCTGACTCTATAGTTCCGTTTTAAACTATGGTTATAAGGAGATAATTCAAAAGTTAAAAAGTACATAACTTTTTTTGTGGTATTCATAAAAACTGAAATTGTAATCTCCGTTTTTACATTTTTTTGTTTCTTGTAATTTCTTCCCTCTTTGTGAATGATCAGTGTCATGAATAGTCTGATTATAATGGTTCGGGTTGTTTCCTTCCTGTTTTGAATCATAGTAAAAGAGGCTTATTTGGTATAAGGAATGGGATTTAAGAGGCAGAAACACATTTTTCTTGTCCAGGAATTGAACTTGCTAACACTAGTTGTGGTCATCTCTGTGATTTGGAATAGATAGACAGTGGCCTGTAGTGAAACTGAGTGTTACCAGTGTGAGTTCGATCCCTGGTACAAACAAACCAAACCAGACCAAACCAAACCAAAACAAAGCAGAAAACAACAACTTAGGAGAAGAGATTTGGAGCTGGAGCTAGTCATAGAGCTTCAAATGTGAAGAGCTATTGTGTGGCTGTTGGTTCCTTTTATTCATGGAGTCACCACCCCATTCCTGGTCCAATGGCAGTGAGTGAATTTCACTTCCTACTGTATATTAGTTCTTGACCTAGTAGTAGGCATATATCAGGAGTGACATTAAGTCCAACCCCGTGCATTGCTATGTGGTAAGAAGTTAGAAAAGCAATGAAAGGTAGCTTCCAGATCTTGATACCCACTCCTCAAAGTCATAATTCAGCAACAAGAGCAAAGGAAATGTGTACGACCTCTCACTTCAAAGGCATGAACAAGGAGCCTCAAGTCTGTGCATGTGGAGGGCGGGGCCTGGGAAGCTCAGGAGAAGTTTAAGAAACTAGAAAAGAATATAAATGTAGGGCTTGATGAAAGCACAGGCAAACCCACTACAGCAAGGGCAAGTTGGGATTCCACATGTCTTAGAGCAGTGGCTACCAGAAGGAGAGGCACAGTAAAAGAAAATGGTGGCCCATGGAAAATGTTGCTTCCAAGGGAGCTTAAGATATGTCAAGAAATGGTAGGAATCCCTGAAGGCAGTGATAATGAGTATAAAGAGTGAAGGGAAAGGAGAAAATGAAGGAGCTCATGGAAACATGAAATAAACATGGCATCTCACTTTTCACTGCCCAATTTCTTCTATTAGAATCATCTACAAAAACTAGGTAGAAGCAGGCAAAGCTGACAGAAGAGAGGACTCCCACAACAGGAGCGCATTTCATTAAATAACTACGAATAGAACAAGGTAGCCTCAATCGATACAGAATAAGAATATATGTATTCTAGCTGATAGAACTGTAAAAATCAGCTATGAAGGGCCAGCCGATAGCTCAGCAGGTTAAAGTGCAGCTGGGGTGTGATTCCTGGAGTGCCATTCCAGCCCCACGCCCCCCGGGCACACTGAGAAGGTGACTGACACTGGGCGTGGTAGTGCACGCCTGTAATCCCAGCACGTGGGAGGCTGAAAACAGGAGAATCACGATGAGTCTGGTCTGTGTAGTGAGACCCTGTAGATCCTGTTCTAAATACATTTAAAAAAAAAAAAAACTATGAAGTTAAAATTATATACAATGCTATAATATGAACTTAACATTCTCATGCAGCTTTTTGGATATATGGATCAAAAATCATTGACGAATCAAAAGTAGAGGAATAAGCAGAAAAGTAGTAAAACATGAAATCAAAGAGGAGTTCATTGAGTTTCCGATCAAGATAGAAGACAAAATCAGATCAGAAATGGAAACTAAATTGTAAGATACTTCAGGGAAAAACAAGTACAATGAAAGGTGACCTCATGTATTAATACTTACATTAGATGTAAATGGCCTATGTGTATCAGTTAAAAGCCAGAGATTGGCAGCATGAATTTTAAAAATACATGACCTTACTAGGTTAGTCTATCAAATACTCACTTCAAGTACAGTGATATTAGTGAGATAAAGAAAAAAAAGACCATAAAATCATAGCATGTGATTACTAGTCAAATGAAAGTTCTAATGGCTCTGTTAATATGTAATAGATCTTAGAGCAAAAACAATTTATAGGGACAAAGAGTGACATATTTTTGATAAAAGGGTCTATTCACAAAAATAAAATAACAGTGTCAAATGTGTATTCTGTAAGCATTAGGAGCTTCAGAATACAAGTAGAAAACTAGTGAATCCAAAAGATAAATGTACAAATCCACAATTACAGTGGGAGACATCAACACTACTTTTTTTAGTCATCGCTCTGTAAAAAATCAGCAAAGATTTAGGAGAACTCACCATCATCAAACAGGATGATCTATTTAACATTCATAGAGCTTTCTACCCACCACAAGCAGTATACCTGTCTTATGCACATGGAATTTTTGCAGAGATAAATCATATGCTTAGTAAATAATTGTCAGTAAAACAAACCTTAAAAATTTCAAACAATTAAAATTGCCTTCAGTGTGTTCTCTGAACATACAAAACCAAAATAGAGATGAGTAATAGAGAACAAATAAAGGAATTGGGGGAGTTTTATCTAAATGAAAACCTCATTTCTCTGACCATGATTCTTAGCTGTTATTGTTGTTGGCTTGGAACGTGGGAAAATAGATGCCTTTGCTCTGACAGTGTGCCAAAATGATAATGAAGCGTATTAGTTGATTGTTACCCAAGATAAATTGTCTCTTTGTCTACTTTATCTTGCAGCTTCTCTGTTAAAAGGACTAAAACATGCTAACATAGTGCTGCTTCATGACATCATCCACACAAAGGAAACGCTGACACTTGTCTTTGAATATGTGGTAAGTGAAGTAAAGATTCATACTTGTGAAGTATGAATAAAATCCTTACAATGCTATCGTGGGGATTTTTAATAGATTGCTGTACTTAAGCGAATATTTTATCTGAGTACAGTGTATGAAGCATAATTTTGCATAAAATAGTGGCCTTATAAGAGATTTTTGAATGTATATCTTAAAAATACATCTAGAAAAATGTTAAGTTGAATTTCCCTCAGATATATTAGGTATTTATAGCCTAACTGTGACCATTGTAATTTTAGGCTCATTAAACATGATTAAACAGCATAATTATTTTCAGTTTCAAGGAAGCTCAAAGACATTCAAAATAGTTTTCCTTTAAATTTATGACTTGCTTTACAAATCATTCTTATGAAGATAGCTATCTATATCTATATCTGTATCTATATCTGTATCTATATATGAGAAAGCCTTATACTTACAATTTATGTTTCAAAGTTTTCCCTTGAGGTTGGTATTCAGCTATTAATTAACACTTCCAATTTGCATAGCACACAGTATAATGATCTTATTGTGTTGAAAGTCTTACTGTTAGAAGACTTGGTCTTGAACTCATAATTAATCTTTCTTTATTTCCCTTAGAAAAACATACGGTATTTGCAAGGCATCACTTCAGCCTTTAACTATGGAATCATGAAATGTAACCATGATAATTAGCATCCCAATTTTCACAGATGGATCTGAGAGCATGTAATTTGTAAGACACAAATGACACTGGTGCAGACTTTTATTGGGAAGAAAAGCTATTGGTATTATGAATGTATTAAAACACCATTTTGTAATTACCAACCAATTTTTAAGAAATTTGAAATGGTTTTCATTTTTTTCTTAAAAAATACAAAAGAATGAATATTTGCAGCATTTTTATCTTGCTAATGTCTGCCTGTGTCTGTTTGTCATGTGAAAATTGTTGTCTTAGGAGAAGCCATTCATCTTGTCTATTTACATATAAATGATAGATACATTTGAATAATATGGTAATGTGGCTACCAGGCCTGCTAGAGCTGAGCAATTGCATACATTTCAGGCTACCAAGAATGGCTGCAGATTCACACATCAATGCAAATATAATTTCTTTTGTTTAATCCATGATTTGGAGTCAGTAATATATTCAACTGATTTAGACTTGAAACTTTGGAATATCATTTCTTAGTGTGTGTAGTTTACATATTTCAGTTCAATCTAGATTTTTTTTCCAGCTGTACTCTCTAAATTTTGCAATACTTTATAAAAAAGTTATCCCTCTCTCAAATTGGATAATTACATTAAAAGGAAGAAAAATAGTTTGGGCAATAAACTTGGTAACATTGTAGGAGAAACCAATGATGGTAACATGAAAATATTCTTCAAATCTCAGAAGAAAATAAAAAGTATTTGTGGGGATAGAAAATATGCCTGCTAAATCAAATCGAATTTGGTGATTTTATACTTTTTATTGTTCTAAAAAGAGGAAAAGCATTTCATCATCTTCTAATATTGGTTGGTTAAGACTGGCTTCTAACTGTAAGCATTTTGCTTTGTGAGTGAAGCTCTTCTGGTCCCAATTCTTTAAGAGATAGTCCAGGTCTTCTCCAGTCAAGCTCATATATCACAGCTACCCAGCAACCACCAGTAACACTTCTGTGTTAACTTCTTTGAAGGGGTTAGATATGCTTCAGGCTTTTCTTTAGAAAGTGGGCCAAAGTGTGTTTTTCATTGTTCAAGCTTCATAATTACACTGCTTTTCTGTTCTCCTCGCCGTCTTTATCCTCTTTTCTTCCCTATGTTTCTTGCCTTTTTGTTTTTTTTTTTTTTTGCTTTTCTTCTATTACTTTTACCACCATCCATTTGCTCTCTTTCTGGTGAAACACTTTTGGCTTCTATACCTCATTTATTAGTTTGATTTTTGTTTAAGTAAAAGAGGATTCAGTGGCTCTGCAATCAGAGTTTGAAGAAGAGCATCAGACTGTAGAGAATGTGAAGCATCTCACCAGCTCTGATGAGGAAGGTGTAAACGCCTCTATCAGGAGTGGCCTGGTTGTGTGGCATTTTGTCCAGTACAAAAATAACTTCCCAAATACTGTGTGAATGTTGTACTTCCACTGCTTTCCAGCTTTGTTCTTTGAGGGTGCTGATATTGCCAGGGGAATTGAGGTTATTACTTTTAAGTTGGTCAACCAGAGCTCACTGCAGCTTGCAGACTTATACCCAGCCTCCTCCTTTTGTGCTTGCTGGCAGAGGAAAGGCAGTGACAATTGAGAATATGCAATGCTTTGGGAATTGGAGCAGATTTAGGGGGCAGGGAATAGGAAAAGGGAGAGCGTTGTGGGTTTGGGATGATGAGCAAGGAGTGCAAATATGGAGATAAAGATGTTTGAGACAGTGTGGGACAGTACAGAAAAACAATGACCACTGTCCCTTGTTGACTTTTTATGCTGGGAACTGTGCCAAGGGCTTTGTGTTCATTGTCACTTGTACCATTCCTATGATTCTCATCACTTTAAAAAAAGAGAAATCTAAGGATTAGGAGATTAAGTGTCACTCTTCCAAGGTTCAGGCCCAGTTTGCTGATTAGAATGTACATCCTTTTCACTTTTATAGTTTTTTGTAGGTGGAGACTTGGGTCCGAAGAGGGAAAAGAAGCCTGTCAGCTTTCCCTACTAAGATCACTGCATATGTGATCATGAGTTCCGCAGAGTCCCTAATACAGATAAACTGCTTTACAATGCAAATAAATTTCATCAACTAACCAGTGCCTGAATCACTGATGCTTATATACCCTCAATATACCCTCAACTACAGGGTATATTTTAAGTGTCATGAAACAAATCTTCAAGTTACTGCACTGCTCCGTGTTTTCCATTGGAGTAGACTTAATTTGCCCACAGGTAGACACAGAACCCTGTTTTTTAGCAGTATTAAATCAATATCCAAAATCAATATTAAAATTTTCAACTCAACATTTCCCAGGCTTGTACTGATATTACCCATTTGTTAACATTGAAGTTATTTTCTAACCAATGTTGATTTTGTGGTTCTATGTAGGTAAGAGCATGCTGCTTGAAGGAGAGGGTATAAAAAGTTGCACAGTGTAGGAAAATATAGTATCCCATGCTCAATAAAGCCCTGCATGTGAATGGAAAGCAAAATAATTTTGGATTTATGGGGCATTATTGGATTTTTCTTTTGGATTTCAGAATTAAGTATTCAAGGGTTTTGGACATATCTGTAATATGTATTTCAACAAGTGAAGACTTCTTATTTACTGTAATGTACAAAGAGTATAAATATATTGCTTTCTATTGCTTTAAAGGAGAACTCTGATTCTAACTCTTTTATGTAATTGCTGTGAATGACATTTTAGATTTCATAAAATGCCTGAGGGTCAGGATAATGAAATACATGATAGAAGTTAGTGATGTGGAAGAATGCTTGAGAAAATGATGGAGAGGCCGTTATTAAGGTGATTTGGGCAGAAATAGGATGCTGTGGGCTCTCCTAAGAACTATGAAAAGCTTTTAAAACTTTCTGAGGTCTAGATTCCTGCACACTTGCACAGTGTGTGGAGGCAGCAGTCTGGATTCTTTTGGGCTGAGCACATGTTGGCCCGTGGCTGCCCCGCTTGCCGATGTCTCAGTCCTAAGGCATTAGGATCTTGTGATAATGCTCTTTGCAGCATTGCCTTTCTTCAGAGGGGTTCAGAGGATGGCTCCTTGGCTTCACGGAACATCTGCTTTCATCATGGTCTATTGCTGCAGCTGTTCAATGCACAGGTTTAAGGCCTTGGCAGAGAAATACGGATGATAACTGGATTAGGCACATTGAGGGTCGTGACCATAGACTGGCCATAGACTAGACGATGATTTAGAATTCGTGACTTCAACATGTATTTAGTTGTAAAAGTGTTCCCCAATTTTTCTTCTATTAAAACAGAAAATTAAACAATTTAAATTTTGTACATTTTTAGCCAAAGATAAATGAAGACCACATTGCCCTATTGAATACCATGCAGAAAATTTTAAAAGGATTCTAAAAGTATAAATAAAAATATTGAGTAAACGTGATTATGTAAGTACATGTTGCTATTAAGCTCCTGTTTAGCTTTATTTTAAATTACAAAAGTGCAAAGCATATGGAGCATCATTTTTCATCACATATTTAATATAATCTAAATACAAAGGTATTTGTCAAGGGATGGGAAGAGACCAAATGGGAAATTATAAAGCGGGTACAAACTTTCAGTTTTACAAGATGAATAAATTCTAGAGATTACTGTGTAACATAGTGCCTAAAGTTAGCAATATGATGTTGTGCCCTTAAAAATTTGTTACGGGGTCAGCCTGATAGCTCAGCAGACTAAAACGCCTGCTTAGGCAGAGTGCAGTGGCTGGGGTTCAAACCCCGACGTGCCATGCTGGCCCCACCTGTGGGGTGCACTGAGATGGTGATTGAGACTGGGCATGGTGACGTGTGCCTGTGATCCCAGCCCTTGGAGGCTGAATACAAGAGGATCACTATGAGTCCCATCTGTGTAGTGAGACCCTGTAGCCCCCACAGATGCTGTCCTAAATATATTAAAAAAAAAATGGTTAGGATAGATCTTGACTTAAGTGTGCTTACTGCCAGAAAACTATTACCAGAAGTATGCGAAGCTAGGGGAGCTGGCTGTTTCTTAGCTGGGTTGCCTTGATGGTGGTGATGGTGCCACAGGCGTCTGTGAAGTGCAAGCTCACCCAATTGTGTATATTAAATATATGCCATTGTTCATATGTCAGTTACTCCTCAGTAAAGCTCTAAAATACTGAATAAGTTTACAGAAAATCATATTATTAAGTGCAGTCGTTTGGTTTTTTATACTAGGATGTAAACTAATAACACATTTCATCCTAGTACATAAAATGACATTTTTAAAATGTCATATTCCACATGAAAAATAACTGTCACCCAAACTTATACAAAGTGATCTACAGGTTTTATGAACTGCATAAGGTGGTTTTATAGTG